TGTGGTTTGGCCTCAAAATTCCTGCCCCCCCCCCCAGCCTGACCCGCCTGCGCCGCATCCCACCCGCCGCCGGGGGGGCTCCCCGGGACCCCCCCGGGCTGAGCTGGACGGGGAGAGACCCCAAAATCCCCCCCAAAAACGAGGAGGGGGCTGAATGCCCCCCCCAGCCTCGCTCCAGACCCAAACCTGGGCGGTTTCACCCCAAAAAGGGAGAGGGGTTGGCCCCACACTGAGGCCAAGTTTCAGCACCCAAAGGTGCAGGTTTGGGGTGCCCCCCCATCATTCTGAACCCAAAATGGGCTTTTTTAGCCCCAAAATAGGGTTTGGGTTTGGTCCTAAATGTGCTTTCTAGCCCCAAAATAGCGTTTAGGTTTGGTTCCAAAATGGGTTTTTTAGCCCCAAACTGGGGTTTGGGTTTGGTTCGAAAATGGATTTTTTAACCCCAAAATAGGGTTTGGGTTTTGTCCTGAATTGGGGTTTTTAGCCCCAAACTGGGGTTTGGATTTGGTCCTAAATGGGGGTTTTTAGCCCCAAACTGGGGTTTGTGTTTTGTCCTAAATTGGCTTTTTAGCCCCAAAATAGGATTTGGGTTCGGTTCCAAAATGGGCATTTTTAGCCCCAAACTGGGGTTTGGATTTGGTCCTAAATGGGGGTTTTTAGCCCCAAGCTGGGGTCTCTCCTCCCCGGATTTTGGGGTGTGTCTGGGGGGGTTGGGGGGAGCCTCTGCGCCGCCGCTTGACCCCCCCCCTGCATGGGGGGACCCCCAAAATCCTCTGGGGGACCCCAAAAGCGTCCCCAGGCATGGCTGAGCTCGGGGGAACCCCGGAATTTTGGGGAGGGGGGTTTCCCCAGCATGGCTGGAATGGGGGACCCCGAAATTCTGCGTGGGGACCCCAAAACCGCATGGCCGACCCCCAAAATTCTGCGTGGGGACCCCAAAACCGCATGGCCGACCCCCAAAATTCTGCGTGGGTTCTGCTGCGGGGGAGGGGACACAATGGGGGGAGGGAAAGGTAGGGGGGACCCCAAAACCGCCCCCCCACATGGCTGGGATGGGGGGGGACCCCAAAACCGCCCCCCAACATGGCTGGGATGGGGGGACACCCCAAAACCCCCACGGGGGGGGGCCACGATGCCACCGAAGGAGCGGGACGGAGCGGGGGGGACACACGGGACCCCCCGAAAGGGGGGCACAGGGGGGACCCCGACCCCCCCTGACCGCGTCCCCCCCCCCCAGCGGCACCGGGAGGGCGCGACCGGGGGGCGCCCGCGGGGGGGGGCGGCGCGCAGAGCCCCCCCGAGTCTCCGGAGTCGCCGTTCGAGGTGGTCCCGGACCGCGCCGCCTTCGACCGCGAGTTCGGCCCCGCGCTCGCCCAGATCCCCGAGGGCCGCGTGTGCCACTTCCCGCCCAAGCCCCGCGGCGGCCCCGGGGGTCCCGGTGGTCCCGGTGGTCCCGGGGGCGGCCCCGGGCGGGGGCTGGCCCGGCCGCCCCCCGGCTCGGCGGCGGCGCTGGAGGAGGTGTCGCGCTGCGTGCGGGAGATGCACAGCTTCACCAGCGAGCTGCTCTCCTGGGACCTGGTGGAGCGCCACGGCGGCGACGGCGACACGGCCGGCGGGGACGGCGACACCGGAGGCGGGGACGGCGACTCCGGAGGCGGGGACAGCCACGGGGGCGGCGGGGACAGCGCTAGAGGCATCAGTAACGGCGTGGGGAACGGCGTCACCGGTGTCACCGGCACTGGGAATGGTGTCATCGGTGTCACTGGTGCTGGAAATGGTGTCACTGGCATTGGGAAAGGTGTCACCGGTGTCACCGGCACTGGGAACGGTGTCACTGGTGTCACTGGCGCTGGAAATGGTGTCACGTCCCTCCCCGCCGCCCCCCGGCGCTGGCAGCAGGAGCACCAGACCCTGCAGGAACTGGGGGAGCCCCTCCCCCGCCTGGCAGGTAAAGCCCCAAAAAGTTCCTTTTCCACCCCAAAACGGCGCCGAAAGCACCGGGGGGGAGGGAGGGGGGGCTGTGATGGACCCAAAATTGGGGTGAAAAAGAGAAGGAACGGGGAGAGCAGGGAGGGAGGCTCAGCAGCGCCGTGTTTGGGGTGAAATCCTGGGATTTGGGGCCAAACCCGCCGGCACACGGGGGAGGGGGTTAATTAGCACCTGGTTTGGGTAGGGGGGGGTGTAATTAGGGGCTGTGTGTAATGAAGGGACTGGTTTAATGAGCGAGGGTAATTAGTGGAGGGAGAGGGAAGGCGGCAACGGGCTCGGTTTGGGTGAAATTGGGGTGGGGGACAACTGTGACCCTCCTTGTCCTCCCTGTGTCCCCTCCTTGTCACCCGCTGTGACCTGGCCTTGTCACCTTTGTGTCCCCTCCTTGTCACCTGTCCTTGTCACCCTCTGTGTCCTCCTTGTGTCCCCTCTATGTCCCCTCCATGTCCCCCTGTGTGTCCCCTCCATGTCCCCCCTCTGTCCTGTGACCCTCCTTGTCCTCCCTGTGTCCCCTCCTTGTCACCCGCTGTGACCTGGCCTTGTCACCTTTGTGTCCCCTCCTTGTCACCTGTCCTTGGCACTCTCTGTGTCCTCCTTGTGTCCCCTCCTTGTCCTTCCTGTGTCCCCGACTTGTCACCCCCTGTGACCTGGCCTTGTCACCCCGTGTCCTCCTCTGTGTCCCCTCCTTGTCCCCCTGTATTTCCACTCCACGTTCCCCTGTGTGTCCCCATTGTGTCCCTTCCATGTCCCCTCCTTGTCCCCTCCTTGTCCCCTCCTTGTCCCCCTTATCTTCATTCTGTGTCCTCTCCATGTCCCCCCGTGTGTCCCCCTCTGTGTCCCCCCGTGTGACTCATGTCCCTGTGTGTCCCCTCCATGTCCCCTCTTTGTCCCCCTGTATCTCGCCTCTGTGTCCTCCTGTGTGTCCCCTCCATGTCCCCCCATGTGTCCCGTCCGTGTCCCCTGTGTGACCCCGCTATGACCCCTCCATGTCCCCGTGTGTCCTCCCCGTGTCCCCTCCATGTCCCCTCCGTGTCCCCCTGTGTGTCCCCTCCATGCCGCCACCATGTCCCCCTGCCATGGCCCCTTTGTCCCCCTTATCTTCATTCTGTGTCCTCTCCATGTCCCCCCGTGTGTCCCCCTCTGTGTCCCCCCGTGTGACCGCGCTGTCCCCGCTGTCCCCAGCGGTGCAGGACCTGCTGTTCTGGCGGGACGTGAGGAAGAGCGCGGTGGCCTTCGGCGCCAGCCTGGTGCTGCTGCTGTCGCTGGCCACGCTCAGCGCCGTCACCGTGGTGGCACACGTGGCGCTGGCCCTGCTCTCGGTCACCATCAGCCTGCGCGTCTACAAGGCCGTGGTGCAGGCGCTGCAGAAATCCGAGGAGGGGCACCCCTTCAGGTGAGCGGGCTTTGGGGGGTTTGGGGGGTTTGGGGTGACCATGTGGTTGATGACCTACGTGGGAGCCGTTTTCAACGGCATCACCCTCCTCATCCTCGGTGAGAACCCCCAAAATGACCCCCCAGGAGTTTGGGTTTGGGGGTGGTGACCCCCAGAATTAGCCCTGAGGGGGGGTTCTGCCCCCAAATAACGCCCACTCCCCTTTTTCCCCAGCCGACATCTTGGCCTTCACCCTCCCGCCCCTGTACGAGAAATACGAGGTGAGCCCAGGCTGAAGAGACCCCCCCAAATTAAAGGGGATTCCCCCCCAAATTAAAGGGGATCCCCCCCAAATTAAAGGGGACCCCCCAAAAGGAAGTGGGGCACCCCCAGAAACGGGGGGCCACCCCTGAAACCCCCATTTTCCCCCTGTTTCAGGTGCAGATCAATCACTACGTGGACCTCATCCGCCGCCAGACCAAGGACCTCATGGCCAAGTAAGGACCCCCCCCCCAAAAATATCCTGGGGACCCCCCCAAAAATCTCCTGGGGACCCCCCCAAACCCTTGTGGCCCCCCCAAACCGTCTCTCCCCCCCCCTCTCTGTAGGATCCAGGCGAAGCTCCCGGGTCTGGCCAAGAAGAAGCCGGAATAAACCCCCGGGTGGGGGAGGGGGAGTTTGGGGGTGCCCCGCGGTGCCCCCCCCACTCCAAGCTTGTCTTTCCCCCCCCTCCCCAAACCCCACCCACATGGGGGAGGGGGGGCTCAGCCCCTCCCACAGCCCCCCCAAACTGCGCCCCCCGAGCCCCCCCCGGCTGCGGGGGGGTGGGAAATGGGGGAGACCCCCCCCCAAATCCACCCGCGGGGCTGCGGCTACAATAAAACACCGCGACAACGCTGGGCCCCTCTGTGCTGCTGACACCCCAAAAATATCCCCGGGACCCCCCCAATGTCCCCGTATTCCTCTCAAATGTCCCCAAATGTCCCCATGACCCCGGGGGTCTCTGGGGGGGTTTATTGGGGGGTCGTGTACAGGGGGGAGGGGGTGTAAAAGTTGGTGAGCAGCAAGCAGGTTTGCTCTGATGACAGTGCTCCCAGTGCCTGGGCTGCATGGGGACATTCCCTGCTTAAATGGGAGCACATGGCCACCTCCAGCTGCAGAGAGCTGAGCCTGAATTCCTCCTCTGCCCCACTACAGTCAGTAGAGAAACCCCAACTCCAAAGACACATCATCACATGTGATTTCACAGACACACACCTGAGTTGCTACAGGAGCTGGTGTCCTGCCTCACCAGCCTGCACACTCCCAGTGCTGAATGCACTGACAATGCTGCTCTGAGGGCTTTTGTACTCACTGGAATCACTTGCTACAACCAAAGGAGTATATGACCTTTCTCTGCAGAGGAACTAGCAAATTAGCCCTCTAAACCTGCATCAACTGGGTTGTGTTAAAAGGGAGAGCCTGCAATCTCTGCAGTAAATCTGTAATTCAGTCAGCTGCAGAGCAGCAGGATAAGGGGGCATCTGACACCAAACAGATGTCAGATTTTATCCTTTTTTCTTCCTCTCTGCCTAGTCTAGACAGTAGGTCTCATGTGCTCCCACCTGGGGACACATCTGCTTGATCAGGCTCCAGCAGTGATGCACCTCATGTGGATCACTCAGAGAATCTTCTCTGAGAGATCCAACACCTACATCATCGAGTGGTGACAGTGACACCCCAGCACAGGCTGCAGGCAGGGTGCCCAGGTGAGGGTGTAAAAAAAAGGGGGGGGCACACACATAAATAAGGGGACACCGGGGGGGGTGACAGTGACACCGGGGGGGGACACGGGGGGTGGGCACAGGTGTGGGGACACTGGGGGGTCACCGGTGTCCCCACTGTCCCCAGGGGTGTCCCCTGTTGTCCCCATCCCGGGGGGCTCAGGCAGGGGGGGCTCCCGTGGCCCCCACCCCCCCTGCGGCCTCTTCCTCCTCCTCCTCCTCTTCCTCCTCAGGGCCGGGGGCTGGCAGGGCTGGGGGGGACAGCGCTGTCACCTCCTGTCACCTCGTGTCACCTCCTGTCCCCCTGCCCTGGCACCAGTCAGGGACGTGCCACAGTGTCCCCAGTATGTGTCCCCACCCCTCCCGGTGTCCCCATTGTCCCCTGGTGCCACCCACCCCAGTGTCCCCATGTCCCCGATGTCCCCACTGCCCCCAGCCGCGTCACGCCCTCCCTGTCCCCTGTCACTGGGGGTGTCCCTGCGGGTGGCACTTTGTCCCCACTGTCCCCCTGTCCTCTCTCACTGGGGATGTCCCCACTGTCCCCTCCATGTCCCTGCCTTGTCCCCCCTGTGCCCTGTCACCGGCAGTGTCCCCCCTGTCCCCGCTGTCCCTATCCCCTCTCACCGGGACTGTCCCCGCCATGTCCCCACTGTCCCCGTTGTCCCTGCTCACCAGGGCTGTCCCCTCCGTGTCCCCACTGTCCCCCATCCCCTCTCACCATTGGTGTCCCCGCTGTCCCCTCTGTGTCCCCGCTGTCCCCATCCCCTCTCACCGTCGGTGTCCCCGCTGTCCCCGCCGTGTCCCCGCAGGGTGTCGGGGTGCGCGGCCAGCGCGTGCCGCCGGATGTCCCCGAGGTGCAGCGAGGGCAGGGGACAGCGGCACCGCAGGCAGCGCAGCCGGTGGCCCCCGGCCTCCAGGTCCAGCCGCAGCTCCGCCCGCAGCCACCCCCGCAGGTCCCCGACTGCCACCCGCCCCGGGGACACCTTGGTGGCCCTCGGGGCCGGGGCGCGGGGCCCTGCGGGAGGGGACAGCGCCGTCAGCTGGGGGGACAGGGGCTGGGGGGGACAGGGGGACACCTTGGGGACAGGGCAAGGGTCACTGGTGACACTTTGGGGACCCTGGGGACATCCTGGGGACCCCTCGGGGACAGGGCAAGGGACACTGGTGACACTTGGGGACCCAGAGGACAGGCCAAGGGACATTGGTGACACCTTGGGGACCCCTCGGGGACAGGCCAAGGGTCACTGGTGACACTTTGGGGACCCTGGGGACATCCTGGGGACCCCTCGGGGACAGGGCAAGGGACACTGGTGACACTTTGGGGATCCAGAGGACAGGCCAAGGGACACTGGTGACACTTGGGGACCTGCCGCTGCCACTGCGGTCATGGGAGGAGCCCCAGAAAGGGGCGGGGCTGAGAGACTGGGTGTGGTCAGCCTTAAAGGGACAGTGTCCCTTTAAAGGGGCGTGGCTTGGGGAAGGGGTGTGGTCAAATAGAGGCGTGGCATTTAAAGGGGAAGCACAGAGCGCTTAAAGGGGCGTGGTTTAACAGAAAGGGGTGGGGCTGCAGCCAAAGAGGGCGTGGTCAATATAGGACTGCACCAGATGAGGGCGTGGCCTGAAGGTGAATGGGGCGTGGCCACATTTAAAGGAACAGTGCTGGCAGTAAAGGGGCGTGGCCACATTTAAGGAGACAGGGCTGTTCCTAAAAGGGCGTGACCACATTTAAAGGGACAGAGCTCCTTTAAAGGGGCGTGGCCCCATTTAAAGGGACAGTGCTGCTACTAAGGGGGGTGTGGCCTCATTTAAAGGGACAGTGCCTCTCCTTAAGGGGCGTGGCCACATTTAAAGGGACGGAACTGCTCTTAAGGGGTGTGGCCACATTTAAAGGGACAGTGCTGGTAGTAAAGGGGTGTGGCCACATTTAAAGGGGCAGTGCCTCTCCCAAAGGGGCGTGGCCCCATTTAAAGGGACACCACACCCCTTAAAGCCGCCGTGCCCCCCTTCCCCACGCCCAGCCCCGCCCGTACCTGTCCCGTGGGCGCCGCCGGGGGGTCCCTCGGGGCGGGGGCTGCGTCCCGGGTGGGCGTCCCAGGCGCGCAGCACCAGCTGCTTCTCGCGGGGCCCCCAGGCTCCGGAGTAGGGGTGCTTCTGGCGGATGTGGCGCTTGATGGTGCTGAGCTTGAGCGTGGCCAGGGCGCTGCCGCACACCAGGCAGCGCATGCCGTGCCGCGCCGCGTTGAACTCCATCAGGTACTCGGAGCGCCAGCGCTCGTGGTAATAGCGGCGGTGGTCCCGGCCCGGCACGCGGCTGCGGCCCGGCCGCGACGCCCGCCACTCCCGGGGCTGATCCCGGGGCTGCTCCCGGGGCTTCTGGGGCCACTCCTGGGGCCGCTCCTGGGGCCGCTCCTGGGGCCGCTCCTGGGGCTGCTCCCGGGGCTCCTGGGGCCACTCCCGGGGCTGCTCCCGGGGCTGATCCCGGGGCTCCTGAGGCTGCTCCCGGCTTTTCTGGGGCTGGTCCTGGGGCTGCTCCCGGAGCCTTTTCTGGGGCTGCTCCTGGGGCTGATCCTGGGGCTTCTGAGGCTGTTCCCGGAGCCTTTTCTGGGGCTGCTCCTGGAGCCTTTTCTGGGGCTGCTCCCGAGACTTTTGGGGCTGTTCCTGGGATTTCTCCCGGGGCTGCTTCCAAAGCCTTTTCTGGGACTGCTCCCGAGGCTGCTCCTGGGGCTTCCGGAGCTGCTCCCGGGGCTTCTGGGGTTGTTCCTGGGGTTTCTCGAGGTGCTCCCGGGGCTGTTCCTGGAGCCTTTTCTGGGGCTGCTCCCAGGGTTGCTCCTGGGGATGCTTGTGGGGCTGCTCCTGAGGATTCTCCTGGGGTTTCTCTTGGAGTTTCTGGGGCTGATCCCAGAGCCTTTTCTGGAACTGCTCCCGAAGCTGCTCCTGGATTTTTTGGGGCTGCTCCTGGGGCAGCTCCCGGAGCCTTTTCTGGGGCTGTTCCCGGGGATGCTCCCGACGTTTCTGGGGCTGCTCCCAGAACTTCTTCTGGGGTTTTTGGGGCTTCTCCTGGGGTTTCTGGGGGTGCTCCTGGGGTTTCTCCCGGGGCTCCAGGCTCCGGCGCAGCCCCCGCGGGGAAGGGGCTGCAGGGAAGGCCAGGGGGGGAGATCCAGGTATGAGGGAGGTTCAGGGGGGATTTGAGGGGACACCAAGGATTAGGGGCAAGGCTGGAGGGACTTAAAGGGACAGAGCAGCGAAAGGAGGGGGCAGGAGAGCTTAAAAGGGGCTGGGGGCTCTTAAAGGGACAGCGCGCTTCAAGGGGCAGGGTCCCTAAATGAGGAGGGGGTGGGGAAAGGACAGGGACATCTGGAAGGGACAGGGACCCTTAAAGGGACAGGGACATCCTAAATTCCTGTGGGCATCTTAAAGGGACAGGGATCCTTTAAGGGGACAGGGACACCTTAAAGGGACAGGGACATCCTCAAGGGACAGGGACATCCTAAATTCCTGTGGGCATCTTAAAGGGACAGGGATCCTTTAAAGGGACAGGGACACCTTAAAAAGGGACAGGGACATCCTAAATTCCTGTGGGCATCTTAAAGGGACCGGGATCCTTTAAGAGAACAGGGGCACCTTAAAGGGACAGGGATGTCCAAAATTGGATGGGGACGTCCTAAATTCCCAGGGGCGTTTCAAAGGGATAATTCCAAGGGATGGAGGCATCCTCATGGGACAGAGCCACCCTAAATAGGCCATCTTAAAGGGACAGGATCCCGTTAAAGAGGCGGGGGTCTCCCAGCCGATGACAGGGGATGGCAAAGGGCTGGGGACCCCCTCCCCCCGGGGGTCGGGGGGCTTCTCAAAGAGCCAGCGCCGCTCCCATTGTGCTCCAAGGGGGGGTCCCACCGCACCCCCCGCTGCCCCCCCGCCGTCTCGGTGCTCACCTGGGCTGGCCGGGGCCGGGGCCGGGCCGGGGGCGGGGTGGGGGCCCGGGGGCTCCATGGCGGGGCCCGGGGGCTCCATGGCGGGGCCCGGGGCGAATTCCTGTGGGCATCTTAAAGGGACAGGGATCCTTTAAGGGGACAGGGACACCTTAAAGGGACAGGGACATCCTCAAGGGACAGGGACATCCTAAATTCCTGTGGGCATCTTAAAGGGACAGGGATCCTTTAAAGGGACAGGGACACCTTAAAAAGGGACAGGGACATCCTAAATTCCTGTGGGCATCTTAAAGGGATGGGGATTCTTTAAGGGAACAGGGACACCTTAAAGGGACAGGGCCGTCCGGAATTGGATGGGGACATCCTAAATTCCCAGGGGCGTTTCAAAGGGATAATTCCAAGGGATGGAGGCATCCTCATGGGACAGAGCCACCCTAAATAGGTCATCTTAAAGGGACAGGAGCCCGTTAAGGAGGCGGGGGTCTCCCAGCCGATGACAGGGGATGGCAAAGGGCTGGGGACCCCCTCCCCCCGGGGGTCGGGGGGCTTCTCAAAGAGCCAGCGCCGCTCCCATTGTGCTCCAAGGGGGGGTCCCACCGCACCCCCCGCTGCCCCCCCGCCGTCTCGGTGCTCACCTGGGCTGGCCGGGGCCGGGGCCGGGCCGGGGGCGGGGTGGGGGCCCGGGGGCTCCATGGCGGGGCCCGGGGGCTCCATGGCGGGGCCCGGGGCGGCTGTGCCCCCCCAGC